TTATTTAAGGCAGAGATGAAGGAAGCAATGAGTTTAGGAGCAGAGGTTGATGCAGGGATTTCCCAAAAAGAAAAAGCATGTAAAAGTCAATAAAAATAATAAAAAAGATAGGCTGGGAACTTAGATGGCTCTCCAAATTCAGAATACTAAACTTAGAAAAAAAACCTAGACTAGAGTCAGAAAATCTGGTTCTGAGCCCACGAATTCAGCACTTTCTGAGTAATGCTGCGAAAATAACATTTCTCTAAGCCTTGAATTCCTAATATATATACTGTTAGATCACTAATATTTAATGCTAAATGACTACATATTGGCTAAATAAATGAGTTCATGGTAAGGTTGTATTGTAAGGTGATTAATACTGTCCAACACAGTATAAATGAGGCAAATTGGTTACAGAAAAAATTTTCAGCCTTGAACTATTCTAGGATCATGAACTCTCATTTTTACCCAGTTATTAATACGAATATGACTTCATTTCTAGTACTCTTCTTTCAAAGACCATTAATTAAATTATAAAATTATATGACTCAATGAGAGGTATTACCATGTGTATAATGTAATACCATGTAGCTTCAGTAGGTTTCTAGTTCATTACAAACACAGGAAGTCCTTTTAACATATGTAGTCGCCATCTTCACTGCAGTAAGAAGTGACTCCAAAACTCAGTGGTTTAGAACAAAAACATTTACCTGCTTTTTGTTCTGTGCCAGAGCTGAAATTTATTTATGGTGGCTCTACTTTCCATGTTTTCTCATTCTGGTTGAAGTAGTAGCTCTTATTTGGGATATTACTTCTTGTGGCACTGGGGAAACATAAGAGAAGGCAGAAACATGCAACACCCTTAACACTTCTGTTTGGGTCAAGCACTTGGTCATTTCTTTTCACGTTCCATTAGCTGAGCAAATTATTTGATCAAAAGACAATGAGGTAGGGCAGTAAACTCTGCCTACAAGAAGACATTTTATGGAAACAAATAGTAGGGATATATTTAATCCTCTAACTGGGAAGGGATCAAAAAGTTGTGAAACTATTACAATCTGTCATTACACACACACACATTTGCTGATTTGTCAATTTTTTAATTTCAAAACATGCTATTATTGATTTTTGTCAAAGTTAGTTGAAAAACTAATAGATTAGTTCATACACTGTATATTTGAAATAAGGTGGAAGTAATAAAAAAAGAAATGGGGGAAAATAAAAAATATAGAGAACCTTTATGTCACAGACCTGATTTGATTCACCTAAGTTCCCTTTAATGAGAGGCTTGATACTTAGATTTTCTTGACATTAGTCACTAGAAACAAGAGAACTCCCCATAGCAGAGTCTTAGGTTTTCAAACATGCTAATAGTTTAATGACATGATATTAAGAAGAAAAAATCATTTTAATATACTCTAAATGTTTAATAAATGCTTAGGTTTTATCAGCAAATATATACAAACCTCCCAATCTCCATATTTCATAGGGTTTTTCTTCTTATAGCTATTCACACACAATTTAAATCTGCAAGTTTTAACCATTTCGCTTCCTGAGAGAGGAAATTGAAACAACAAAGGCAAATGTGTCCCCAACTAATGTATGGAAGTAGTTATTTCAGGTTAATTATTATCAAGAACTGTGCAAGACTAAGAATGCGATTAAACATTAGTCTGTGAGATGTTTAACAGTAGGGTTCTACAATAAAAACAGAATATTGTCCTTTCCAGGTTTTTGCTAAATGGTCCCAAACTACACATGCAAATAAAGCTAATGTCTAAATGATTAAATGGTACTGTCATTATTATTCAATGTAGGAATACACTTGAGAATCAAATTGAATCAGTCCCCACCCCCTCCCATGGCATGATAACAATTCATGTTCAACCTTACTTAATATATTCCTTGGTTAACAGAAAAATCAGTCTGTTTATTCATTGGCTTCTAGAAAAGAGGACTAGGCCCATGTAACTGAGGGACAGAGCAGTGAAAAAGAAAAACAACAACAAAAACACAACAGCGCTGGGCTAAATGTGAATTAGACTAAAAAATGGCAACTTTGTACCTTTGTCTAAATTCCTTTTTCATCCCCAACCCTTAGGCATTCAATGCCTTCCCTCCTTGTCACACCACACTCCCTAAAACGGGCCTGCTCAGGAGAACATAATGTGCTACCTCTCCCAAGAGTATACAAACTTTCACTTAGCCTCCCTTGCACAATGAAAAACTCCGTTCTTCTCACTAAGTGTCATGTTTAGTTCTAAGCACATTCCATATAATGATCCGCTTAATATTCACAACAACTCTGAGGTAAGTATTCTTATGATTCCTGTTTTACAAATGAGGAGAGTCAGTCACAGAGTGAATGGGTCACTCTCCTGTGGCAAACCCATGCATTCTGATTTTGGGAGCCTGGGGTCTTAGCACTAGAGCTATATTAAGAGGGAGATTCTCACATACCCTATCATTGCCTCCAAAACCTTTCCATTCTTATTTGGTTGTGTAATTACTAAATGTAATCTTGCAGCATTAGAGACCACAGAAAAATATGATAGATTTTTTAACAGAATCCATTAACAGAACACAAACTGGGAGAACACTACCCTAACAAAGGATAGGGGAATGAGTTAGGAAGATGTCTTCACACATTTCCTGTCCAAGTACTCCTGGGTCTCCCTAATCTGTTATCCCACGGCTGAAACTAAAGAGATTATTTGCCCAGGTTCTCCAATAATCTTCCATTAGTTTTGTTTCATTTGCTTTGATACAAGACTTTCAACCATGATTATGAGGTAATAGCAAATCCTAAAAGGACCTGCTACAGCCCCTCTTTTGGATACTTTTTGTATATGCTGCTACCAAACTGATTATAGTAGAAAAACAACAGGGAAAAAAATGCTAAAAAGTGATCTTTGTAAAAGCAGTTAAGCTTGTTAAGAAAATAAATCAGACAAGGTACACATAAATATTCTCCTAAGTATTTTATTCTTTTTCATGCTATTGTAATAGTATTGTTTTCTTAATTTCTTTTTCTAATAGTTTGTTGTTCGTATAAAGAAATTAAACTGATTTTTGTATATTGATTTTGTATCTTGCAACTTCACTGAACGCCGTTATTAATTTCAACTGTTTTTAGTTAAGTATTTAGAGTTTTCTATATGTAATATAATGTCATCTGCAACAGAAAATTTTACTTCTTATTTTCCAATTTAGATGTATTTTATTTGTTTTTCTTGCCTGATTCCTCTGTCAAGGGCTCTCATTACTAAGTTAAATAAAAGTGGCAACAGTGGGCATCCTTGCCTTGTTCTGATCTTAGAGAAAAAAGCTTTCAGCTTTGCACCATTGATTATAATATTAGCTGTGGTCTTGTCATGTATGGCCTTTATTTTGTTGAGGTACATTCCCTCTGTACCCTGTTTATTGAGAGTTTCTATTTTAAAAGGATATTGAATTTTGTCAAATATCCTTATGCTTTTTCTGCATAACAAACCAGGTAAAACTATTTTATATGTATTTTAGAATAAGACAGTTATATATAAATAAAATATGAATATAAAGTATTGATCAGAGGTCAATAATTTCTAGAATTTGGTGAGCAAAGTTATTAAGAATCCTTTGACCAACCCCCCAAAGAAACTAAATGTGATGGTAAAAAAATATATATACTTTTTAATGATCTTAAACATCAAAGAATAGGCAAGGTATAAAGAATTATCAGGCTAAAATCTAAGTAAAACCTCTAACTCAGAAGTTAAATGAAGTTACTTTTGCTGATACATTTGCTGAATTTGGCAAACTCTGGCTTTTTGGAGTGTCTGGGTCCACAGAATGCTCAAAAGCCAGGAACTTCTCAAGGTACTAATCATAGGGGTTGCCAAACAAAGATTAAAAATACTGTGTTTATGATTAAACAAATAAAAGATAAGCTTAAAATGTCTTCTGGGAACCAACATCTACTTCAAAAAATACAGCAGATGTGGAAAAGAATTAAATCAAGAAATGAAAATTTTAAAAAATAACTAAAATTTAAAACTTAAAAATGAGTTTAACCATAGATTAGACATAACTGAAGAGAAAATTAGAGAATGAGAGGTTAGGTAAAAATAATATGGGAGAGGGAAAAAAATAAAAAAGTTCAAAGATGTGGAAAATGTGCAAAATGAAAAGATCTGACACGTATTTAATTGGAATCTCAGAAGGAGATGAGAGAGAACATGTGGCAGAGGCACTCTGAAGAAACAAAACCAAGGAATTTCCTAGATATAATGATATAGACTAATCCATAGATTCAGGAAGCACAGAGTATCTGAAGCATGATAAATAAAATAAGGTAACACCTAGACACATCACAAAACTGCAAAACACAAAAAGATAAAGTGTAAGTATTAAAATCAATAGACAGCCACCAAAAAAAGAATAGAGGGGCTGTCTTTACAGGGGTGACAGGCTGACAACTGCCTTTAAAATAAATTGTTGCAAAGGTCAGCAGAACAACATTCTTAACATGCTTAAAGAAATGAATGACAACTCTGAATCCTTTGCTTACCCAAAATATCTATTAAGAATGAGAGAAACTTAAAGATATGTCAATATACCTACCCCCCACCCCCCAAAAAGCAGAAAGTTTCGTACCAGCAACCTGCAGTTGAGAAAACTCTAATGGACACCATTCTGGCAGAAGAAAAGTGATCTTAAATTTTTAAAAAATGAGGTGGGATAATAAATAGCAAACAGAGAGGAACATGTAAGGGTAATTCTACATTAATACTTACTAAATAAAATAATAATGTCTTGCAGTTTTGAAATGCAAATGCTGAAGTAAAATACCTAACAATGGTAGCCTAGCTCGGAAGAGTCATAAATGAAGTTAAGTGTTCTAAGGACCTTGTGTTGTCAGGATAGAAGGTGAGGGAAATGATTAACTTTTGACTTTGGCAAGTTAAAAATGCATGTTGTAATTTCCAGAATAAGCACAGTAACAGTATAACCTATAAAGCAGTAGAAAAAAATATAGAATGACTTCTCAGACTTTTGGCTCAGATCAAATGTAGTATCTGTTCTTATCAGTTTAATATCTGATACATCCTCTATCTGAGGACATTATATTACATGGAATTTTGAAACTGGGAAATGGAATAGGAGTTTGCTTAGTCCACTCCATGCATTGACCAGGTACTGCAGCACTTCTGGGAATGGTGCACTGGTGCACCAGAAAAAAGAATGATATTAACACAGAGATAGTAAGGAAGGAAAGAAAAATAAAGAACAGACAAGAGAGATAACACAGATAAATTGTAGATATATATTCAAATATATTAAAATGCATTAGTGATAATGTAGACTAAATGCTCTAGTTAAAGACAAATCATAGGGCTCAATTAACATATATAATATAATATATATTAAATATATACACACACATATTTCCACACATCTAATACATATATGTGCAGAAAGTGTGAAAGGTAAACCATTAACTAATACCCAAAAGAAAGCTATGTAGCTCCATCAGTATTGAGCACAATATACTTTGTTTTAGTAGAGGGAGCCAGATAAGTCACAACATAATAAACAGGTGTTCAAATCATTAAGAGTGCATATAATTTATTACTTGGTTACATATAATATTATAACTGCAAAATATTTAAAGTAAAAATTATTAAGACTACAAGTTGAAATAGGAAAATCCAAAATCATACATCTTTACCCACATACAAAATTTTACCCACGTACAAAAAAGTGGGTAAAGAGCCAGAAGATAAGAACATTTAAGTGAATGGATGTTAACTGTGGACATACATAAAGGTGCCGCGGCCCAAAATGAAGAAATCTTGTTCTTTTCTAGTTTATACAAAACATTTTCAAATGCTGAACTTATCTTGCACTGCTAAGAAAAACTCAAAACAGTTTAAAGGATTGAAATCATATAATGCATGATCTTGCAACTACCATGCAATTAAGTCCCAAATAAGTGGAATCTAATCAACACAACAAACAAGAAAGGAAAATATAACCAGCAACATTGAAAGAAAAAAGAAACCAACAGAAACGAGAGGGAGGTAGGGACAGGGGTAGTGGGGAATGGAAGGGGAAGGGTCAAATCAAGGAACATGTATGAAGGACACATGGATGGAGCCAAGGTGGGGAGGGATTGAGGGAGGGAAGTGGGGGTGGGAGGGACAGGGGAAAGTGGTGATGGGCAAATGGAGACAAATGTATTTGAACAATAAAAAAATAAATGAAAATAATGAATAATAAATAACAAATCCCCATATGTTTAGAAATTAATAAATACATTCTTAAAATACCCATAGACTAAAGGCAGTATCATAATGTAAAGCAGAATGTATTTTGTAATGAAATTGCTACATATCAAACACTAATAAGATGCAGCTAAGGCAACATTAAAGAGAAAATTATAGAATTTAATGCATAATTTTATTTCTTCTTCTTAGGAAAGAATAAAGTTTTAAAATTAATAAGCTAATATCCTCAAGATATAAGAAGAGGAAAAAAGGTAGAAGAAATAATAAAGATCAAACAGAAATTAAGGAAATAAGAATAAAAGGAATTCAATAAAGATTATCAATAAAACCAAAAACTGGTTATTCAAAGTCTAATAAAAATTCTCAAATCTCTGGAAAGACTCATTGAGAGTAACAGAAAAAAGTCACAAATAATCAATATTGAGATTTAAATGTGGGATACAGTAAGAAACTACAGACATTAAAAAGTTAATAGAGGAATGGTATAAATACTTTATGCTAATAATTTTGAAAATTTAAACTCAATTTTAGCAAAAGTATGTTTTAGCAGAAGTGACATAAAATTTTTTTAAAAACTTAAATAGTCCAATAATGACTACAGTAATTGAAGCAATACACATCTGTCACTTCTTTTTTCATCTGTCATTTTTTTAAAAATCCAGTATTTCTTCCTTTTAAGCAACGCGTCTTTCTTGATAAAATCACAATGCATGTTAGGGAGTACATGTGGACTTCTTGATAAACTGGTACTCTCTTGGCCACAGAAGCAAATATCCCATTATGAACTAATAAAGTTAGTTCATGAGCCACTGAGATAATGATTCTCTGACATCCCTGAGATAAGGAAAAGATCAGCTACCTGCCTGGGACTTTCAATGTGGAGGTGGGATATGATTACTGGCAGATCAAAGAACCAGCGCCACAGTTAGAATTGGAGAAATACACACTCTGACCAACAGTCAAGTTTATCCCTCATAAAACATTCTCTCAATTTCTAAAATAAGCAAAACTCAAAATAGTGAATGAGGATCTTCATAGGAGCCCCAATGTACTTCTTTGATAAACATACAGAGCTTGAGATATAATTTTTGTTTGATCAACAAGTCAAACACCTGGCCAGTGCCAAAATGAGGCTGAAGATATGTCTATAAACATATCTGGGGAGCAGAGGTGTAAAGAGTAGAAATAAAGATATGAATTGGCTATTGAGAATTTTAATATAACACCCAGTTTGATTGGCTATGTCCTCATTTAAGAAAAAAATATAAATCTAAGAGACATTGGAAAACTACAATGGCAAATCTCATATGTACCTTACTGCTTGAAGTTAAGCCTTGATCCTAGTAACGTATCACATATACACACATAGTAAGCTTATTAAAATGCCATTCTGGAAAATCTATAGAACAATAATACCATTGCTTTATATTGCCAAGAAATGCACAATGTGAACAAAGAGATCATAGAATAGGAATGCACAAGAGACAGACGCTTGGAAAACCAGATGGGAAAGGGTTCTAAAGAAGATAGAAGGCCAAAAGGAAAAAAAAATGAAAGAAAAAGAAAAGAAAATGAAGAAAAAGACCAGAGGGAAGTTTTAAAATTTAGCTAAATTGATTTCCAGCTTAATAATAATAACACTAATAGCATTGCTTATTTCTGCACAGCCACTGTTTTGCCCATTTCAGAAGACTCTCACTTTATTCTGTAAGACTGACTCTTTGAGGTTATACAATATGGCACTATGTGCCAGATACTCTTCTAAGCCCTTTGAAAACATGTATTCATCGCATAATTCTATTAAGTTAATACTATTACTATAATTATCATTTTACAGATGAAGTTAATTTACTTGTCTGGTCAGGAATGGACCAGGAATTTAAACCTAAGTTGAACGGTTCTTAACCCATCTCCTTAAGGAACCATAGGTGAGGGCTGAAAGCAAATAAAACAAAGCTGAAGGTGTCCACATGTCTTTCAGACGGCAGAAAAGTTCTCAGACTGCAACCTGAACCTCCATTAAATAATTTGGCTGCTTACAAGAGCCCCTTTTCTTGATGCACTTCTAGCAAGGTCACAAAGAACATTTTGTGTGGAATAATATCACCTGCCAATTGATTTAACAGAATAGATATTTCCAAGTAATGTGTAAAACAAAATGAACCCAAAGAGAATTTCATAAAATCCCTAATCCCAGAAATCTCAGAAAGAGTAGAATTTCCATTAACATGGTTTGTTGCTTAACAGTTGGCTAAGGAGGATGTGGGCAGGAGCACTACTTCAATGATTTAAGAGCTTCATCAATAAAAATGCATAAATAGAAGCTGAAACTTTTCAAATGTACCCTACTGACCACCTCAGATTCCTCCAGCACTCCTGGGGCATCACAAAGCTATGTTTGGGTCTGCCCATTTCAGTCCTCATTAAAATAGGAAGGTTTGCAATTTTAATTCTAAATAAATCCTTTCCCTGGTAAATATAACTAGATATTCTAACTCTTACTTAATCGTCTCTACAAGCAGTTTCTTATCCTCTCTGAATTTGTCTTCTGCCTCTGGGCAGTGTTGCTAAATCTCTAAATCCAATGAAATAGAAACAGTTGAGTATTTCACTTTATTATTATTGTTGTTGTTGTTATTATTATTTTATAGAATTAAATTTCTCTTGGCTTCTCTCTGGGAGGAAAAGAAGATTTCAACACAAACTCATCTGCATACAAAAATCCCAATGACTTAAACTCAAACCACCAGCAGGAGATAACTTACCAAATAACATGGTGACCTGGGAGGGAAAGCTCACTGAGTACTTGTAAGAACCATGTCTATTTTTAATTCATATTAAATGTGGTTGTCACCTCCTAACTCCAGAAAAAAAATACACCTTTTCCAGGAGTTCAGAAAGCAGCATATTCATTATAGGATGGCTTCCTTTTAGGAGGAGAAAACCTCCCTTTTACTTTGATGACTAGGGGTTTCATTTTATAAAATACACAATTCTTAAGGGAACAAACAGACCCCTAATAATATGTTAGGCAACTAAGAAACAGCTTCCATTTAAACATAAAGCATGGTATAGCAGCAAAGAGCATACTCTGAAGATCAAGGGGCTTCATTTCCATACAGATAAGCAGTTATCAGACCCATTTTGCAGATAGGATAAGTTAGCTTAGGTTGCAATTAAGTGAGGTGGTATCCAAAGTCAGACTGTCCATAAAAGTAGCATTAGTGAGATCTCCACTCACTGGAAAACTCCACAGAATAAACTCTAGTATGAACAGATTTAAAATTCAAAGAATTTGAGCTTATATTGAAAAGTACACATAACATAAAATTTCATTGCAACACAAATATAAGAGGCAATTAGATATACATCTACTTTCTAAAATGAAATAAGCATACTATGGAAATAGACATCATGTTTTTGAAAAAAGGTCAGAACACGAATTTTGACAAGACAGTGCAAATGAAGTTTGGGTACTTAAACTATAATTCCTAGTACCCTTAAATAGATTAGGAAAACAAAACAAAATTTGAAATAAAAACTGTCTCAGAATATTCAACATAAATGGCAAAATAAGGCAATATATAAATATTTATATATTTGACTAATACAGAAGTTCATATGTATATGAATAATAGAGTGCTTTTTATTAAAATTTCTAATAATAAGTATTTAAGTTTTTTAGACCATTAGGTAATTCACTAGTACAACTACTGAACTCTGGCTTTATGCAGCTAAAAAAGCCATAAAGACAATATCGATATACTTATGTTCCAATACATACAGGTAAACAAATTGATGTAGTTATGTTCCAATAAAATTTTATTTATTAAAAACACACAACTGGTCAAGTTTTGACCCATGAACTATAATTTGCTGATCCATTCCCTAATATAAAATATACTTTTAATGAAGTTTGTCAGTATTTTATTATTCCCAT